CTTTGAGCTGCCACCAGCATGAAAAGTGCTATATAAATAAAAATGTTTTATAATTATTATTATTATTATTACAAGAGCTGTTTTGTACTGTATGATATAGATCATTTAAGTGCATGCAGCAAATTAAACAAAAACATCTGTAGGGACCCATGCAGGTCATCATTAAGCTAAAATTTCAAGGTAGAGACAAAAGTTGGACCATCCACCTCCCTAGTACTGTTGAAAAGAGACCCTCCCTAAAAGCCACAGTGTAATTTGAACACTGATTCTCAGTTTTGATGTTGTGGATGACTATTATAATGTTTATCTTAGCCAGAAGTATCTCATGCCTACATGAGCAATGAACATATGAGTAATGCATTTTCCTCTGAGTGGTATATATGAACATAGAAGAAAGCGCTGCACAGTGGTAAAATGTAGCCCATCTTGAAGTCTGGATTGCGTCTGCACTTTTGACCATTTTTATGGATAACAGTTTGTCATTTGTATGGCACGAAATACTTCGATGCTTGCTTTAATGAAGCCCGACCGGCTGAGACAATGTCATGTCTTGTAGGAGCGCTGCAGGTCCTGCGAGGTGCTGGACCGCATCTCCGCTGATGGAGTGTGCGCTGGTGGCTCGGAGCCGCAGGTGTGAGGTGGTAGAGCTGACACACACCCCTCAGGAATGAGAATGGATTGCAGTGACACAGCGCCTCTCTGATGAAATGGCTATCAGACTGCGGGAGACAGCCGAGTCAGACAGAAGAAGCTTTTAGAGGAAAATGTCTCCCTGCAGACCATCAGGAAAACCTTTATGTAGGGGCCACAGTCTAATTCCCATACACTACATTTGCGAATCCACTTTGACTGTATTTAAACAAAACAGTACAAATACATGATACGGAGCGTTTTACCTTCATTGTATTCTGAAATGCCTGCAATACTTTCAAAAAAGTTGAGACGGGCCAATTTAGGATGTAGTGGAATGTTCAAAAACATCTTAAACAGATGATGCAATTATGCTTGGGTATTAAAAGAGAGTCTTTAATGAACAAGGATGGGTCAAGGTTCACCATCGAAAAATGCATTCGGAAGTTTAAGAACAAAGGGCCTCATTCACCAATTTCTTCCTAAGTTTGTTCTTAAGTGTGTTGTTGAGAAAGGTCCTAAGAAAAAGTCTACGTCAGATTCATGACGTGTTTTGAAAACACAGAACTGTTGTGTAGATTCTGTTCTTACCCAAGAACAAATCCCAGATAAGAGAACACTGGTGAGTCAGAATCTTCGTGAAAACTGCGTAAGTGGGTTTTTAGAAGAAATTTCTTCTTAAGCCTCTACTGCATGCATTATGAGAGCAATAAAAAAAAGTTCAATTCACTTTTCTCGCATAAAATGATCCTTGATTTATTTTTTGGACCCAATTGTTAAATTCAAAAACATTTAAAAATAATGAGTGCAGGGGTCCTTCTGGAGTATGTTGCTTTGAGGCAACATTGTGCATCAAAGAGATGAAATGATACAGAGCTGTGTTCCCTAAAGTGGTGAGTTCCCTGGCTTGTGATTGGCTAAATCCATTCCACTGTCGTGCAGTGTTGCCTCTATGCAACAAACATATTTCAGCAAATTCACATGAAAAAAAATTGATACTGAATGTTAAAAAGAGGTTTAAATGTGTCCACTAAGAGATAGTTTGACCAAGCACATGCCTTTTATAGACTTACTCAAACTCCTCCTTTTATTGTTAACCCTATTATAGTCTTTAAATATGTATACCGTTATTGTAAAGTGAAGAAAATTAGTTTGCTGCCCTGAGGCAACATTGTGCAATAGAGGGTTAAGAACAGTTGGTGAAAGAGGCCCAATGGTCCTCAATAAACAATTGCAAGGATTTTTGTTTTGGTATTTCACCCTCTACAGTGCATAATGTCATTAAAAGATTCAGGGAACCTGGAGAAATCTCTGTGCGTAAAGGACAAGGCTGAAAACCAAGACTGAATTCCTGAGATCTTCTACCACTCAGACAGCACTGCCTTAAAAACAGACATGCCTCTGATATACTATGACAAACAGTTGTGAATAAACACTGTTCATCACTGCATCCACAAATATAGGTTAAGGCTGTACTATGTAGTGGAAGCCATATGTGTCAGCCACTCTTATTATGTAGCATATAGTTGTTTTACACTTGTGAGGGAGAGTAGCAAACTTACGTTACGTTGCTTCTCATGTTAGAGTCATTATATTGGGAAACGATTATGGTTTTAAGTTTAGTGTATTACATGTATGTATGTATCTGTACTCTAAAAACACTGAATGGACAGGTTAACATATACAGTGTTTCCCTTTGCAGAAGGACTTTTTGTTGCATTCTTTCTCTGTTTGGACACGATGGAAGGAATAACAGGTTCCTAAGAGTCATGAAAAGTGGATTCGCCACGAAGCGAGGATTTACTCTAGAATCTTGGATTAACTTGTTGGATTATGACCGGTAACACTGAAGCATTGGAGAGAAAACAAGAGCATGAAATTAAACAGTGTTTACACCTGGCGAGAGCTTTCCATTTCATTTAGCAAAATACTGAATACTAGAGACTGTTGTCATCTTTTCTGATGATATGCTGTTTGATCAATTCTTAACTGTGGGAAAACACAATTTGTGGATACATCCCAAGTTCTGTGAGACCGTCAGTACAAATTAAAGAACAACTGGGACAAAAGATTTAATTTGTTTTTAAACCGGCTGTGAATATAGGAGTTTTTTGCTACATGTAAACACCACCGACTTCTCTGGGTTCAAGCTCATCTGAAGTGGGCTGATGTACAGCAGAAACATGCATTGTGATCTGATGAGTCAACATTTCAGATTGTTTATGGATATTACAGGCATTGTGTGCTCTGAGCCAAAGACGAAAAGGACCATCCAGAGTTTTACCAGTGTAAAGTTCAAAAGCTTGGCTTTATCATAGTTTAGACCCAATATATATATATATTAGCCCTCATGGCATGGATAACTTAATCACTGAAAGGCATGTACACATTTTAGTGCAACATCTGGAGCTTCTCTCCTGACTTTTTGGGGATTTGGACCAGGAAAATGTATATTGATAACTAAAAACAAAACATCAAATGTCATGTTTTTGTACTGTTTTCAATTGTATATGTTTAACTGTTTAACAATTTAGTACACTGTAAAAAATAATATCTTAGCAAGTGAAAACATCTTAAATGTAGTCAAAAAACTAATAATTCTCATTGAGATTATTGTAGAAATAAGATTATTCCACCTGTTTCTGTACATTTTTACTTGTTTTAAGTGATTTTTTCTGGTGAAACTGTCTTATTCCATTGGCAGATTAGTTTACTTGTTTTGGAAAAATAATGAAGATAATTTTGTTTATTTTAAGCAATAATGTTTAAAACAAGTAACATGATCTGCCAATGAAATAAGACACTTTTATAAGATAAAACTACTTAAAACAAGTAAAAACGTCTAGAAATAACTTAAATAATCTCACAATATTCTTACAATCCTTATGACAAGTGGGCCCAAACCATGCTGGCAAAAGTCCCCCATAGTATAACAGAGCCACTGGACCCCCTCACTGTAGCGGCATTCAAGCCTGGTGTTCTCTTGGTGTACACTGCAATATGGTGAAGGGTGACTCATCTAACCAGACAACTTTTTTTTTTCCCAGTAGATCAGTGCTGATGCTTTTTACACCACTGACCTCTCAGATGGTCATTCATCTTTATAAAAAGAGGTTAATGTGCTGCAGCCCTACTATAATCTCCCTCTCAATGTAGTTGTGGATGGATTGTTCTTACTGACAGTCTGATCATGCCTTGCATTGGCTGTGTTTACATGCAAAGATTTTTGCCAAACCGATTGAATACAATCCGATTACAGATTCAGACTGAGGTGTTTATATTCACTCTATTCAACAATTTGATGGAAAATCTTCGTTTACATGCTCACTACAAGTAATCAGATGCAAAATGACGTGCATGCGTAGAGTAGCGCTTAGAGTAAACGTTACCATGACAGCGAACATCACGTGAGTCCAGTCAGAGTGAGATGAGCAGCAGTGAGCAGCGCTTGTGTTTTTAACTGCTTTAAAATGATGTCAGACTCAGGAAAACGTCCTTCACATGTCCTTATTGAAGAAGGCCGAGAGGAAGACGTCGTGTTCTGAGACACATAAGCTGGACGTCCGTCCCACCGCCGTCTTTTAAAGATCAGAGCATAAACTTCGTCTCCTCTGCAGACCAGTTTCTGCTCCGCCATGTTGAACGGTATAAACTTTCACTATGACGCGATGAACATGATCAGAACTGACTTAAACTTTCCGATAGGGAATGTAATCAGATACAGACGTTTACACTGATATTATTCTTCTATTTAACAGAATATTTAGAAGTTTATCCACCTCGTTCAGTCGGATAGAAATTGTATTCTGAAAGGCCTCAATCGGACTAGACTATTCCGATTGAGGTGTTTACATGGATGTGTTCTATTCCGATTGAGCTATTAATCGGACTATTAACGGATTATCAGCCTGCATGTAAACGTGGCTAGTGACGTTCTCAGTCCCTTGAAGAACAGCTGCTGTTCTGTTTTCTACATATCGCACTAATAAATGAGCATCATGCTCACTGAATGAGTGATTTCGACTACAGTTAGCAACCCTGTTTACTGATGTTTTTCCCACAAATCTAAAGCACGTCACTTTAGTTTAGTGAGCCAGTTGAACGCAGTCTTTGTGGATGAATTTCCTTCCAATCATGGCCCAATAATGAATCCTCTTTCAAAATCACTTGCCATCTTGATCCAAAATTGAAGTCAGCTGGGTCTGCTCAGGTTTCATGCCTGCCACAGAGCACGCTTGGATGTTAATTGTTTAATTGTATCACCTGTCTGGAAGCATCTGCACTCATTATGTTTTTCCACTCATTTATATCAGGTTATACACAGCCACACAGCATACAGTCTCACAAACACATTTCTCCATTATTCTCACCTCTGTCACGGCGAAGACCCTCTTCCCACATGGGACCACTTTGTACCACTTGTCGTGCAGCATGTCCATGTAGCCATCAGACTTATAGCGGCTAACGTACTCGGACACATTACGGGTCAGAGGAGAGTTCTGGGGCAGACCGATCCCATAACCTGAGAAACAGAGTGAGATGTTTTACATATTATTTAATAATCCATAAGCTTTATTCTTGATTGTATATGTATATTATGTCTGTAATTTACAGTGCTAATCAATGGCATTGCCAGGACGTGTGCCCCAATAGAATCTTGCCATGAAACCAAAAAAAATATATATATATAAAATAATAATTAACAAATATTCCACTTTATTTTTTACTGTTGAACTGAATTACACAAAGTTCATAACAGTGCATATTCAGTAGCGCACAGCCTCTGCATTTCCCAAACTCATCCATCACCCTCCAGCTTGCTTGAATGGTTTACACTTCCTTGAACCCATGAACTTGTTGGTTAAACACAGGTGATTTACATGGAGACAGAGATAAGGACAGAGGCAGGGACAGTGATGGGCACATAGATGGGGACATAGAAGGAACAAGAATAAGATGGAGTGGGACAGATGTAAGCACAGGCACTGGGACAGACAAAGTAAAAAGGAACAGGACAGTGACATGAACTGGTTTAGGGATTGGAAGAGTGACAAAAACATCAAAACAAAAAAACAGGAGAAGCACAGGGACTGGAACAGGTACAGCGACTAGTATGGAACTAAGATAGTGACAAGGACTGGGACAGAGACAGAGATGGGTAGAGTGACAGTAATCAAAAACATGGAAAGAAAGAGTAGCAAGGACTGGGACAGAAAGAGTGACAAGGCTGGGGATGGAGACAGGGACTAGGACAGGGACAGAGATTGACCCATGTTGTAACACTCACTGTACCAGGATATGGAAAGAGATAGGGACCAGGACGGTGACAGGGACAAGACCAGAAATGGAATTGGAGCGGAGATCAGGAACTGACTCAAAGACAAGACCAAGGATAGACTCTGAGACGGGACCAGGAGTGGACTCAGAGATGGGACGAGGGAATGGACTCAGAGACAGGACCAGGAATGGATTTAGAGACGGGACCAGGAATGGACTCAGAGACGGGACAAGAGATGGATTTAGAGACGGGACCAGGAGTGGACTCAGAGACGGGACAAGAGATGGATTTAGAGACGGGACCAGGAGTGGACTGAGAGATGGGACAAGAGATGGATTTAGAGATGGGACCAGGAATGGACTCAGAGACGGGACAAGAGATGGATTTAGAGATGGGACAAGGGAATGGACTCAGAGACGGGACCAGGAATGGACTCAGAGACGGGACGAGGGAATGGACTCAGAGACGGGACCAGGAATGGACTCAGAGACGGGACCAGGAATGGACTCAGAGACGGGACAAGGGAATGGACTCAGAGATGGGACCCAGAAGCCCTTCAGAGGAGAATAACTGGAGGAGTGTGAAGGCCCAGACTTAGACTTTGTCCTTTTCACCCCACAGAGTCCTCTACAGTTTTTCTGGGTTGTAGTTGGATAATTGCTGCTAAAAACTCCTGGGTAGCACAGATTATTGAATCATATCTTATGAAGTGAGGTGCTAAGTCAGGGAGTGAGGAGCGGTAAACGGAAAACCTGGAGCGGAGTGATTACAGAATGCTTTGAGCGATATTCTCTACTTCTTTTCTCTTCTTCTTTTTCCTCTGTTCTTTTTCCTCTCTTGCTTCTTTCTTCTGTCCTCTCTTCTCTTCTCCTATTTCCTGTTGTCTCCTCTCAATCACGTTCCTCTGCTCAACAAACCTGCTGTTTTTGAACTTTCCCTGCTGTTGGTGAGGTGGCTGAGCTGGCTGCCTGCTGTAATATTCTTAATGGAGTGAATTTGAGTCATAAATGGCTCAGCACTCTATAAAACGGCGGCTGAAGGATTTTCCTGCTGTCTCTGTGTGAACAGAGCACGGCTCTATGGTGGCTTCTCTTGATTAGCCCTGACTCCATTAGACCAGGCTTTATCATAAGGTTTGCAGAGACTCTAAGCTGTTAATTGAACGGCCTGCTGTTTTATTCCGGCTGCTGGACGGCTCTCATTGACCACCTCCCACACTCACGGCTCCACGGCACAAAAGCACCATCCACTGAAGGACGACAGTGGGAGTGCAGTGGTCAAGTTTTGATCAGCTCTCTAGTGCTGTAGGTTTAATTCTCACATTATTACTGCCATTCAAATACGTTCACTGTTTTTATTTATTATTATTTATATCTATTTTAACAACATGCCTCCAAATTTTCAAGACCATTAATGCTTTTTCCCTTAATGAAGCTATTATATGGGTGTTGCGTCATTCTCAGCACTGCAGTGACACTGATGTGGTGGTGGCGGCATGTTAGTGTGCGCTGTGCTGGTGCGAGTGGATCAGACACAGCAGTCCTGCTTGGTATTCTTAACTAACTAAAGCTGCAGCACTGCTCTGCCTCAGGGTGGCGCTGCAGACCGGTTCACCCAGTTGGTCCTTCATAGTCTAGAAACTGTACCTCTGCCCGGATTCCTCTGAAAAACTTTCCAATGAGCTGCAGCAGATCTGTAAATCTGAAAACTCGCCCAGTTTCCCAAGAGTTTGGAGTGAAGAGTGACTGTTCCTCATTTCTCACACTGAAGACAGAAGAGGAGACGAGGAAGATCTCAGTTACTGTGAGGAAGAGCGCAGAACCGCACTAGAACAGAGACTCTACAGAAGAGGAGACGAGGAAGATCTCAGTTACTGTGAGGAAGAGCGCAGAACCGCACTAGAACAGAGACTTTCCAGAAGAAGAACCGATAAACCAATCAGAGCCGCTACGATGAGTGAGTTAGCAGCCAGCCAATGCTGGAGAAGCCAGCCAACATGGGACCCCCTGAATACCAGGGGGGATTTTACACACTGGCTGCAACTAGCAACTATTTTCCTAATCGATTAGTTGGTCCATTATGACTTCAGTTAATCCATTAGCTGAGAAAACCTGCAGATCTTAGGCTGGAAATTATGTTTCATTTAGCAAATTTATTCTTCCTTTATAAAAAACTAAACATCTACTGCATCTTCTTATTCATATTTTATAAAAAGAGCTTTTATCAAGGACACTGCAACAGATTTCCTGCATCGCTCTTGAAAGCTATTTTTGTAAAGTGCAGAAAGAATATAAGAACAACACATCCAGGGAAGCAGGAGGACAAAACCTGGAGAAAAACACTTAAACCACCCGAGCTGGTCTGTGTGCATTAGACTAAAAGCAGCTCTGTTATCTGCAACGTTGAGTCGAGCAGTTTAGACAAGCAGATTCAAACTGCAGCTCATCTTCAGCCAGTGCTGCTTATTCTACCCACATGGAAAAAAATTTATGGACATTTTTTTTTATATATATTTGAACATTTCAAATACATTGCAGTCCATGCCAAAATACATTCCAAGCACTGTAATCTATTTCAGAATATGTTGCCGTATTAACCAAATATATTTTAAAATGCATTTACTTTAAAATATATGGGGGAAACATTACACACAGAAATGTACCATGCAAAAATAAATGCATGTAAATAATAACAATAAATGCATGTAAATAAACCTGTAATAAGACAAAAGCAAGTGTTGTAGGTACTGATACTCTTGAAAATACAGTTATGATTTTATATCTTGTTCATTTGACATTTCATGAGTGTCTTACTGCATACATGCATGGTTAATGTAAAGTCAGTACTGTGGTAATAACTTCAGGTTCCTGTAGATGGCGCTGCACAAGGATGATTGGGCTATAAATACCTGCGGGTATGTGACGGGATTCATAGATTGAGAAGAGGTGGTACAGTGCAGTGAGTGTCTCGTTCGATGTGTGGGAAACGAAAATGGGTCGCAAAGCAGACGTTAATGATCAGCAAAAAGGAGGGACTGCATTTGCGTGTATCAAAGGCCACAGTGTGAAGGAAGTAGCTGAGTTTGCAGTTGTATCGAAGCGCACGGTCATACAGGTCGACCAGCAGTCGCAAAATTCCCAGTCTACAGGAAATTCTCACCAGAATTGTGGCTGAAAGACAAAACTGAAGGACAGGGAACGCTGGTGTGTTTCACAGCTTGGGAATAGAACTCACTTTGCTTCGAGACAAGAATTGCTTCTAGAAGTCAACGCAGGTTCTTCACAACCAATTTCTGAAAGAACTCTCCGCACGGAACTGCATACCATGAACATATGGAGCAGAGTGCCACGCAAGAGGCCTCAGGAAGCCTTCAAAGAGGACTGCATTCAATGTGTAGTTCAAACTGGAGGAGCTCTGTGATGATCTGGGGGTGTTTTAATTACATGGAAATTGGTTCTTTGGTTGAGGTGGCAGTAAATTTGAACCACAGTGCCGACATTGAGTTGCTGGACAACCAGGTGTTGGCTTTTGCTCATCGTCTTACCGAGAAACATCACATTCCCGTTATTCCAAGGCTGCAAATGGGACTGATTGGCATGATGATCATTCAGGAGCGTTCACACATCTGGACTGGCCCGCAAAATCCCCAGATTTGAATCCTCTTGAAAATCTGTGGGAGGGCCTGGAACAGCGAGTAAGACGCCAGGGAACGCTCCATTGAATCTGGATGAACTGCACAGTTCTTTGATGCAGGAGTGGCTGAACATTGATGTCGCCTACATCCAGAAATGTATCCAGTTCAGGCCAAATTGAATCTCAGCTGTTATATGTGCTGGTGGAGATATTATATGCTATTAGTTACGTTTCAGTCACACGTGACAAATTTTTTGTCTGGTGAGCTTAATAACAAATACAAATAAATGCATTTTAAACATATACACCGATCAGGCATAACATTCTGACCACCTCCTTGTTTCTACGCTCATTGTCCATTTTATCAGCTCCACTTACTATATAGGTGCACTTCGTAGTTCTACAGTTACAGACTGTAGTCCATCTGTTTCTCTGCATACTTTGTTAGCCCCCTTTTACCCTGTTCTTCAGTGGTCAGGACCCCCATGGACCCTCACAGAGCAGGTACTATTTGGGTGGTGGATCATTCTCAGCACTGCAGTAACACTGACGTGGTGGTGGTGTGTTAGTGTGTGTTGCGCTTGTCTGAGTGGATCAGACACAGCAGTGCTGCTGAAAGGCAGACAGTGATGCTGTGTTTACTTTTCATTGTGGTTTTAATTGGATATTAGTATCTCACTGGGCTGAGTTTCTGCCGTGGGTGTATAATCTCTCCGAGCTCGGTTTACACATCATACAGGAAACCGTCTTTTTACATCGATAACATGATTCATTGCCAAAAGTCTTTTATTATGGATATTAGCAATGATGTTGATTAGTTGTTGCAGTCCTAAAATATTAAATCCCAGTCTATTAAATCAAATGTTCAGTAGGGGTCGTTCTCCATTTGCAGTGGGAATTCAGGTGGATACATTTTTAAAAAATCTCTTTCTTTCACCCCAAAACTAAATAACTTTATTATGTCCATTAATATCTCCTGTTATCATAAATGCAGAAAGGAGAGCTTAATTCAAACATATTTTACAGTCACTGGTGTTGTATGAATATGGTGTAACTGGGACGGTGACTCCTGGTTAAAACTGAGGATTCTGTAAATTGGCTGACTCGTTGGCTGATCAGGTGACCTTGTGTAAGTATTTAAAATCAGTACTAAAAATGATATATGTATTATTTTGACAATATTTTAATCACCCAGCCATTAAAGAACATAACACTGGTGACACACAGAAGTTATGTGCTGCCTATTAAACAAAATTATTAATAAATGAATGAAATATAGTGAGCGAGTGTGACTCGCCTTCTCATGCCTTGAGATGCTTCCTCTCTGATGAGCCTCGACCCAAAGAAGCAGTTTAACAGAGCTGAAAATACTGTGTTAGAATGTAAAATAAGAATCCTGATGACACCAGCGAGCAAAATCTGTGACAAATTAATTTTTAAAATAAAATACATATTTTTAATGATATAATAATAAACATGAATCTGTTTTATACAAGTTCCTGAGTTAAACCTCTTAAAAATATTGTTTTATATTAAAATGGTTTCCCAAATGTTGAAAATTGGTTTTGTGACAAGCTGTTTTCCAGATGCAGAGCGACTATGAAACAGGATAAAGAAAGAAAAGTCAGAGAATCATGAGGAAAAGGTTAATCTTATTTAATCTTAGGTCAACTGTGTAAAAGTACATACTGACGTTTGGAGCTGTGCCTAATATTTTGAGCATCTGTTTAAGCCCTGCAACCTCTGTGACATGGTTTCCCACCACAAATAGAGAATGACTCGTTTACATTCTGTTAAAATCTGGCATTTTTTCCTCTGTAGAAGATTTTTTTCGTTCTGCAAATCAAGTCTGAACACACAATAATGGTAACACTTTCTATGAATGTCACCTTTGTAAGCATCTATAAACACATTTATAACATGTTATAATGTATACATAAGGCATTATAAACATGGTTATAAATATTTATAAAAAGAATTACACTGAATTACACTTTATAGCCATGTTTATTATACATTATGAATTGTTAATACAATGCATTATAAATAGTGTTAATAACATGGAGAGCTTGGAGAGCGTAAAGTAAAGACAAATACCAAGCTAACGGTGGTGAACATTACCTTTCCCACATTGGGTAAAACACTGATGGCAGCTCTAGTTTAAACTCTGACATTTGAAGCCTGTAATGTGCTTTACTGTGAATGTTTTAGTGTTTCAGTAAATCCTTCAGTAAATACTTCAACTTGAAGCCTCACTCTGAACACTGGAGGAGGCTTTAGTACAGTACGCTTCACTTTACTTAGAGCGGACAAATACCACTTATGAGCTCTTATAATTTGTTATGATCAGTACTTATAATGTATTATGTTAACAAATCATAATGCATAATAAACATGGCTATAACGTGTAATGCATTTTTATAAATATTTATAGCTATGTTTATAATGTCTTATGCCTGCATTATAACATGTTATGAATGCGTTTATAGATGCTTACAAAGGTGACGTTCATAGAAAGTGTTACCATAATAACTTTATCAAATATAAGTCATAATAAAATCTCCTCCACTCACAAACATAAGCATGATATGAATTAAAGTTCAGCATCTGCACTTTCCACATCATTTCTTCAGTGAACCACAAATGAGAAATAATTCAGCAGCGTGTGAGCGTAGAGTCCAGAAGTTGAGGGAAATCCTGCACACACAGCAGGTGGTAACAGGTGCAGCTTCACTTCCCACATGACACGCCTCAAAGCCTTCAGCCCAGATGGAGCACGATTACTAACGTCCTTTAAAGTCAGATCAGTTACAGGCAGAGCCTGATTCTGTATTCATTCACAGACGAGCGTTTGGATGCATTCTGCCGCTCCTGTACAGGCATGGTGCCCTCTAGAATTATTGGCACCCTAGGTAAGCTGTAAAACTGTAATGAAAGAGTGCGGAAGGCTGCGGGTGAAAGCGTGAGCGAGCGTTAGTAGTGTTTCTCTATTAAAATCACAGCAGTGGGTCAGAGAACAGGCAGATAACATCACAGCCAAATGGATGTGGAATCATAATGAACAGTCACACTGAGGACAATACCTGAGAGAACTGGATCTAGAACCAAACGCAGGATCCAAGAACTAAAGCCTCGCTGGAGCTAGTTTAGTTCTACCTGGGCTGTTCTGTCATTTCAGTGATTAACGATAAGATCTATGAGCTTAATTCTAATCCAGTATGAATCTGCAGTGTGTGTAGTTTTACAGTCTGACAGTAATAATTGTGGAGCGATTTTAATCCAGTATGAATCTGCAGTGTGTAGTTTTACAGTCTGACTGTAATAATTGTGGAGTGATTTTAATCCAGTATGAATCTGCAGTGTGTAGTTTTACAGTCTGACAGTAATAATTGTGGAGTGATTTTAATCCAGTATGAATCTGCAGTGTGTAGTTTTACAGTCTGACAGTAATAATTGTGGAGAGATTTTAATCCAGTATGAATCTGCAGTGTGTGTAGTTTTTACAGTCTGACAGTAATAATTGTGGAGTGATTTTAATCCAGTATGAATCTGCAGTGTGTAGTTTTACAGTCTGACGGTAATAATTGTGGAGCGATTTTAATCCAGGTATGGTTTTATTTTATTCTGTCCCTTTTTTTTAAGTATGTCCTTTTTTTTAAAAAAATGTTGAATTTTGTCTGTTATCATACTTCATACTGTGTGTTGTAAATACATTGTAAATACATACGGTGTGAAAATATCATGAGATTACAGTTTGGATGACCTCACTCAAATGCGAGGTTTTGTTGATGTTCTAAGTGAAAAGTTAACACACACTTCTCCACATTTTATGAAAAAAAAAAATCAAACCTAAAACGTGGCCTGTGCTAAAATTATGGCACATATTTTTACTATATAAGTATTTTTTTTTAATTGTGCACTAAAACTAGCAGAAAAAGGCACATTCAAGGCAGAGGATGGGTTAACTCATGTCTTCACTGAGAAAATCAACACCACGTGGAGTTTGACCAGGGTTTTCATTTCCGCACTGCAGAGTAACTCCAGAAACAGTGAGGCTGTGGCTGTCAGAGCTGCGCCGGTTACGAGGCGAACTCTGCGTCCTTCTGACTGAACACTCTCACTTCAACCTCACGTCTCTCGGTAAATCTGCCTTCTTTCACCTCCACACTGCAGCCCGTCTTTGACAACTCCTGAATATAAACCCTGTAACCTTCACAGATCCGCAGGAGAGTGGTTCTGATTTTTATTTGATTTCATCCTGTTAGTTTATATTTGCACTGATAAAGCATCCTTGGCTCTGAGAACAGCACTACATTGTTTTATTTATATAGTGCCGTTCTTATCAATGATTAAATAAACAGTGTCTTCTCAAAGGTGGTCTCGTTGCTAACATGCATTTTAATGACCCAAAGGGCCTGTATCTTATATTTTTCATGAACTTTATTTTTCCCCTGAGGTCCATTTATAACATTTGTGTGCTTTTTTGTACCAAAAAGAGTCATAATTCATTATTTTACCATCCTCTTTTTATCTCTTAGAATTACTGCACCTTTGAGGCTGATATATGTAAATGAGCTCTGTTCCAATTGGCTGTGTCTCATTCAAAAAGCAGACGAGACTGAAACACTCCTTATAACTTTCATTACGTCATTACTTTGTCTTCTTTACAGTTATGTTTATTTATTTTAGAGTATTTTTGTGTTTATTTCAATTTTGATTACGTATATGCACTGCACTTTTTTATTTTACATTTATTTACATATAATTAAACAAAAGCTGCCTTGCCTTCAGTGTGACTGGGTGGGGCTAAACTGCTGCAGGCTGAAGAGGCAGGTATATGCAAATGTATTGGTTTTTGTGACCTCATACAAGCAATGAATTCAAAACAGGCTGATTTTGGCACCTAGCTTCCATTTATGGACTATATGGACTGAACAATATAAGTGAAATAATGTTTATGCTGGTGAAGTAATGATACCGGCCCTTTAAAAAAAATACTTTAAAATCAACAACAGGTAAAATAAAATCATCTCCCACGTTCGCTCTGGAGCGCCGTTCACAGCCTGAACAGCCCTTTACCTTCGATAGCGAAGGGCTTGCCCACGGTCAGCAGCTTGCAGTCGGCATCTATGGACACCTCGTAGTCCAGCAGGGCTTTGTCCATGATGAAGGCGTCCAACTGAGCCGGATCTGTCCTTCAACACAACGAGAGCAGAGCGGTCAGACACGCGTATACGGCTAATGAGCTGCTGATAATTACAGGCCAGACGTTTACACAGAACAAAAGTGTTTGACTAAATGTCTTTAGTTTCACAGCTGCAATGGTTCCCTAAAGGCTCCATCTCAGTACCTTTAGTCAGGGAACATAACTGAACCATAATCCACTGAAATGATATGTTCTAAGCTGTACTGACTCCACACACCCCGTCTCGCCTCCAGGCTTTTATTTTACTGTTCTGTTTAAAACATTCGGTTATGAAAAGGTACAAATACGAACTTTTCACCTGGAAACACTTATTTAAGGTTCACAATCAGACCTTAAAACCACTGTTGGAGCTTTGAGGGAACATTTACACTGTTTGTACCTTGATGAATGAAAAATGTACCTAAACAGAACCTTTATTTCTAACAGTGTACAGTGAGTCACATTGGCAGTGTGGACAGAATTAAAAAACTGCTCACAGTATGAAACTTTTTCACATTTTCATTTTGCTGACAGTGGGGTTTCTATTTAACGTTTTCCAAATTTTAACCAAATTTCCAAAAAGTTAGTAAAAGAAAATGCAAATCAGATGATTTACATATAAATATCACAACACAAAAACACAATATTGTTAACAAGAATACCATCATGTATATTCTCTATAGAAATTTAGATAGAATAGATTTGTTGCAAGCAAGAAGGGTCTGGGTTCGATTCCCCAGCCGGGCGACCAGGGACCTCTCTCTGTGGAGTTTACATGTTCTGTGATGGACTGGCGATCTGTCCAGGGTGTATCCTGCATTCCGCCCAATGAACGCTGGGACAGGCTCCAGCAGCCCACACGACCCAGGAGGATAAGTGGCTTAGAAGATGGATGGATGGATGGATAGATAGATTTGTTGTTTATTATAACATCATTTTTTCTTTTCATTTATTACTAAAATTGTCAGTCTGATCTGCATGATGCTAGAAATATTTCAACAAAATATCCCAATGATGATATATATGATAATAATAAGATAAGAAAAAAAGGGAAGGACCATAGGCATGTCCAGCCCCTTTTTAGGGGTGCTCAAGCTCCCCTAATAATAAGAGTAAAAAGTCGTCCTGTTTTGTTGCAGGTTGTCAATCAACGACCGTCCACTGTTTGAATCCGAGTGAGAGAAGCGAGCTGTTGTCATTGGTAGGCCTGTGTGTTGATATTAAAGCCAGGGTGCTAGACTAGTCTAGACGCTGGTCTCAAAGCTCTGATCCTAGAATCACCCCTGGGAAGGACCTTTAAAAACGTATGGCATGAGTTAACAAACAATCATAATATTACAGTAAAGAAGTGTTGATTCCAGATCAGGTTAGTGCTTAAATAGTTGGGTCATTTCTGGCTGTAACTACACTTTCAGTTGAGTTTGAAAATGCAATAGACAGCTTCATAATAAAGAACGAATAAATGATCTGGCTGCTCTTTTGCGAGTCAGCTATATTCCTTTTTCACCAAAAATCCCACAATCCCTAAAACGATCATTATCCAAAAAGTGGGAGGGATGTGCCCCCCTCGCCTCCCCCCCAAATATCCATCATTTGTATATAAATCTTGACTTCTTTGCTTGTCTACAAAGACAAAAATCAAATTTGCTTCCAGTTTTGTAAACGATGCACATATACATAAAAATATATTCCATCAACGTTCTTGAGGGAAAACTGCAAGGAAATTGGGAATTGCATCTTATGGCTACTGTGAGAAAGGGTCACTAAATTCAGGGTCATTAAGTTAACTTAAGGGTCATTAAATTCAGAAAAAAAAAATACCACTAGCAAGAAATGAAAAAAATTCAGCTAATTAATTATTCCTAGAATCATAAATTGAAAAACGGGGTCATGAATTCATCTCTTAATCAGTTTCTTCATGTTAAAGAATCTCATCTGGCTTCCTGCAGGATGGATAATTGAGATCCTGGCAGATAGAACTCTTATATAACCAGCATCCAGCAATATCTGACAATAAAACCTGCCGAGGAAACCAATCTGACAGAACGGTGGTGCAGAGTTTCTGGCATTGTGGAGGTTTTTGGCCCGGGATGTGAGCGGTAAAGATGCTGACCGTGTTATACGTCTCTGGAGGAGTGAGCCGGGGTGGTTTTGACACGAGAGGAAAAAACAGCATCAGTCATAAAAAGGAGAGAAAGTGCAGAAATACTTCACTGCGAGCGCGTGAGGGAGAGAGATAGTGACAGAGAGGCAGCGAGAGAGCGATAGATTGAGGGAGACGGAGGGGGGGAGGGGGGTGTTCTCTGGGGAATTTTCGGTCTCCGCTGAAGAGAGAGAACCTTTGGCCTTCTGCGGTGGGTTTAGAGGATTTGGGGGGCGACTGCCGTCGACTCTTTAGCAATTTGGAGGCTGCTCAGGTCGTGTTTCTCTCAGGGGCGAATGGAGACAGACTTACAAGTGTCAGGATTACGAGAGCAGCTGCTCGTTCCAGCCGCCTTTCTCCTCTCATGCTGCATTTATTTGAGAGCTGGGATCTGCTTGATGCCTCTAGTTCCTCTTTTGGGAAGAGGAGAGTGATTCTGCAGAGACCCCAGGGTAAACACATAAGAGCTCTTAAAGGAATAAATAAATAAATAAATAAATAAATAAATAAATCAACCTCTCCCAGCTCTGTTGGGCTTTTTGTAAAACCGAAGGATGGTGTTCGCAAGCCTCGCATAGACTGTCAAGCATCTATTTCTGCCTTTTAATCTGCTCCTCTTCTTTAATGCTGGGATGTTTGGATGGTGCTTTGATCTAACAAAGCAAAAATTCTTTAATCCTTCATTGCGTTTTTGTTGAATAGGATACATAAACACAAGACTACATAAACACTACATAAACTTTCTCTGACAGAACCGAAATGCAAGGCCAATGTTTTTTTGTTTTTGCTACACTCTAAAGACATTTGCTTTGGGATCAAAGGATGAATAAGACATTAAACCACAGTTTCAGCTAACTGATATTCACATGTAGATGAGACAGCTTAGAACATGACACCTTTTGCAGACCACCCAGTTTTTAGGTTAGCAAAACTTGATTATTTGTTTCTCTTGCTTGCAATAACTGCTGCCTTCTTCTTTCGTGATGCTTTTACCACAGCTTCTTTCAGCTTTTTGTGGGGAGGGATCTCCATTCAGTCTCCTCTCCTCTGTGAGCTAAATCAGATTAAGGTCTGGTGATTGACTTGGCCAGTCTAATTTCCCCTGATGAAGCCCTTTGTTGTGTTGGCAGTGTGTTTAGGGTCATTGTCTTGGTGCATGATGAAGTTCCTCCTGATTAGATTGAAAGCATTTCTCTGTAAACTGGCAGACAGAATGTTTCTGTGGATGTCTGGAATCATTCGGCTGCTACCATCATGATTTACTTCATCGATACAGATTAGTGAGCCCATTTCAGAAGTAGCCATGTGAGCCCGAGCCATGACACTACCTCCACCATGCTTCACCAATGTATGTTTTGGATCATGAGCATCACTTCTTTCTCCAAATTTTGGCCTTTCCATCACTTTAGCAGAAGCTACAGAAGTTTTGTGGCTCATCTTTGTCTTTCTTGAATTCCAATCTGGCCTTCTAGTTTTTATTGCTGATGATTGGTTTGCATCTTGTGGAATGGCCTCTATATGTCTGCGCTTAAAGTCTTCTGCGAAAGGTGGATTGTGATACCTTCAACCCCTGCCTTGTGGAGGTTGTTGATTGTTGTTTTTAGGTTTTTCTCCACAGCTCTCACAATGTTTCTTTCATCAACTGCTGTTGTTTTCCTTCATTGACCCCTTCGCTGTCTGGGTGTTAGTACACCAGTGGTTTCTTTCTGTTTCAGGACATTGCAGATTGTTGTATTGGCTATGCTGAATGCTTGAGCAGTGGCGCTGATTGATTTTCCTCCTTCTCTCAGCTTCAAAATGGCTTGCTTTTCTCCCTTAGACAGCCCTATGGTCTTCATGCTTAACCTCTTCACAGGTGAGACCCAGGGCTCAAACCAAGAGTAGACATTCAGAGCTATTAACTGCTGAAACAATCAATTTAAGAAACACCTGTCATTTTTGCACACTTCAAAGTTGGGTGGGTTCAAACAAAAAGTGTCATGTTTAAATTGTTTAACACACCAAGATATAAATATCAGGAGATAAAAGCTCATAGTAATAAAAGCTCATATTCATCTTTTGATCTCAAACCCAAAAGCCTTCTGTGCATTGCAAAAACAAATGAATAGGCCTAGCCTATATACTATTGGAGGACACTGTACGAATAGGAACATATCATACTGTATAAATTAAAATTATTATTATTATTATTATCATTCAAAAGCTGGGAATCATGTTATGTGAATCATTTGTGTCCTTTTGTATACAACAGTAACACATCTAAATAAATATTTCCACATCAGACAGTATTTTTAGTTTTCAAGCATCTTCAGTTACTGTATACTGTAAATTCTATATTATAATTAGTAAATATGAGGCATGTTTGTATGTATATGTTCTACAGCTTTCTCAGTCATTTTAGAATCTTCTCCAGCTCAGTTTGTTATCTGGAGACAGCAAACATTCTTTCCATTTCTATTTACAGCTTCATACTATTACTTGAATGCTATGGATGTTAATTCATAGCATATATTTTTAGACTTTTATCTGATATCAAGTTTGTTGTATACTGTTAACAACGTTTCAACAGTAGTGGGCTTCACACTTGAGAGGGCTTTTGTTGTTCCTCTGATTAAGCAGATCAATGATAATAAATGTCCTGTGTGATGTGAACTACGTTCTGAATGTGTCCTAGAAACTAAAAGCATCCACCGATAAAGGCAGCATGGCACTTCTTTTGTAGTGTGATAGGAAACATGGTAGTTCACAGAAAGCTCCAAATCCATATGCTCATCCATTTTACTACCAACAAGATAGACATCCATGCATTGAAGCATCTCTGTTGGGACATTTTAACAAGGTAAAGGGAGCTTAAAAATTCTGATGCA